TGCAGTGTTACCATGCTTAAAATATCTTTTGCCCGTTGCTTTAGTTTATCACAAATGCGTCGTTTTCTTCTGTTTTCCTTTGATTTTGTGAAGTCGATAAATAGAGGTCTGAAATCATAATTCATAACTTAATTAAGCCAGCCATTTCCATTTTAGTTATCAGATATTTGATGACTTTTTGTTGTCTGTCTTGTAATTTATTTATTGAAGCTTATCACATATATTGTAAGATATTTACAGTATATGTGACAAGCTATCTTTTCTAAATTATATGACAAGTATGGTTAATATCGATGTTACAAAAAATTAAAATACAATAAAAATATTAGCAAAACAGCGGATTAGTTACTTATCCGGTACTCGCTGCTACTTATATTAATTATGAAATGAACCCTAAGACGTTATGCGACATAATTGCCATCTAAAGTTCTAATATGTAACTACTAAACGAATATATCAACCAATGGCGTGTATTTTTCGATCAATTTTATCGATCTCCCTGAGTCTCTCTCTCAATCTTTATCACTATAGCTCTCTCCCAACTTTCGCTCCATGGCACTGTGCGTGATGCGACGTTCGCTCTAACTCACTCTCTCTCTCGATCTTTCTCACTTCCTTGCTCCCTACTTTCGCTCCATGGCTATTTGCTTACTGCTACGTTCGTTCTTTCTCACTTTCTCTCAATCGGTCTCAATCGCTCTCTCCCTTCCCTTCTTCTTCGACAAAAATGCTGCACATTTTTGTGACGCTAATTTATTATTATTGCGTTTCATCCGTACAAATTTTACCCACATACGCGTTAAGAAGTTTCACTTCAAAAATTATACAAACTTACCGTTCTAGAATTTCCACGTGCACAGTCTTCATGCTGGACACAGCACTCGAACTGGACATATCCTGAAACCCTTCATCTATTAGAGACGTTCTCTTCTCTGTATCTTCTATTATGAATTCCATTGGTATTGTTTTCGCTGATCGCTCACGCAGGTCGAAGGTGCCTAAAGAGTTGGTTTGTGATTTAGGCTTGGGTAAAAATTGTATGACCTATCAATCTCTATCAATAAATTCTGAGTTACCCTCATGTAATGTGGAACATGGTGGTAATGGTTGCAACAAACGTTGTGTAAAACAAAAAACTTGGCGATTTAAAAAAGACGAAAATTTTATTGCCAGTTCTTCTCTTCTGTTCTACGGCCTTGATTTGAGTAAAATTAGAAGCATTTAATATAATATATTTATTTCATGACGTTCATAAGTGTATACATAAATGATTTTGATTTTTGTAAAGAGATTTTCGGCACAGTGATACATTGGTTTAAGAACCACAAAATACAAATTTTAATGCGACAAACACGAAGAGATTATACAAATATTAAACAAAACAATTAAAATTACAAAAACTAAACCAAAATCGATTTCAAAGTGTGAGGGCTTTGGATATCCAGACCTAGCTCGTTTATTAGAATGCTCAATCTGGCTATTGTTGAGCTTTTACCAAAACGCGTTCTTCGGAAAGGAGGGACAAATAGATAATGGGATGCTTGGGGTATCTAGAGGGTACACAATGTACCCTCTAGAGAGGGTGTAAGACATCGACTAACTATTGAGCATCTATGTTGGAATGGGTTTATATAATATCTCACCTGTTATTCTAACTCTTACCAGAATCAAGCATACTCTCTTCTTTCAACTGCTTTTCCGTCTCTTTCTCACTCAACGATTCTTCAGTATGAGTGGAACTGTGGTACGAGTCGAAATCGGACTCGTAACTCTCAAAATCGTCTTCATAACTCATTTCTTCTTCACTTGGTTCCTTGTCCTGTAATTTATTTTAAAAAGTAACATTATTAACTGACTAGAGCAGTTTTGGCTTAATGGGTTCATCTTGACTCATCCCTGGGTCGTAGGTTCGATCCCCAGCTGTCCCAAGGTCTTTCTATCTAACACTGCTTGTACGGTACGGACGGGAAGGACATCGTAAAGAACACCTGCATGCCTTAGACAAAAAAGTCGAAGGTGTGTGTCAGGCACAGAAGATTGATCACACTCATACATATGCATACTAAATGTCTTATACGGTTTGTGTTTGATTAGTCAAAAAGTCAAAACGCATTTATTTTATTTTTAATAATTTGCTAGGCAACCCATATGGATTATATTTATTGACATATTAAATTAAATATAAAATACGTTTCATTAAATAAGCATCTCGGTGAAGGCCGTTGTATATCGGGATCTTATACTAATAGGTAACACAATGTACACTTATGAACGTCATAAAAGTAATATATATTAAATGCTTCTAATTTTACATTTGCTGCCAGTTCTCAAATCAAGGGCGTAGAACGGTACACAAGAACTGGCAATAAACTCTCCGCCACCCTTTTTAATCGCTATTTTAATTATAACAAAAAAAAAATAACCACTTTTTCTTTAAAAATAAATGTTTTTTAACATGTACCGTGTACTACGGAATAATTGTAATCTAGGTACCCACAACACAGGGGCTTAGTGTAGGGACTAGTGGTCAATTTTGTCACAACCATATTTCTGTGATGAATAAAGTTTTTATTAATACTTAAAAATAAAGTTATGAAAATCTTTATACCTTAGACTGGTCCCCATTTAAATCAACGTAAAAAACCTTCGATTGAGCTTTTAATTTCCTTGTCAAATTCATCATTTCACTATTATTATCCACTTCATTAAAAACCTTAATTTCGTGGTCTTCTAACGTTCTAGTATTTTTCCTTTCTCTTTCCTTATCAACCTTTACTTCGTGAGGTTTCTTTTTAATATCTGCCTCGATCGCCGACTCCTGTTTGAAAATTTTTCGTTTCGCTATCGGCGAATTTACCGCGACCGAAAATGGCAACACTTTTGTCCTTGGCTTGACAGATTCGATTTTTGACGTGGCGGGAATTGGCGAATATTTACTCTTCAATTGTTTTATATCTTTCATTGACGTGCTAGTTAAATTTGTCGTAGATTTTTTAGTATTTAAAGCGCTTTTTTGTCGTGAATAAATATCCGCTGTACTTGATTTTTGGGGAACAGAGCGTGGTGTGGTGACACTGTATACGCTTCTCTTTAACTTTTCATCTTGTTTCTTGATAGGAATGTCATCTTGCGTTTTTTCTTTTACTTTTTTGGCAACTGTTTTCCTTGACGACTGCATTGTTCTACTTAATAACCTGCAAAATAGTTTTACCCAATTATAACTAACTAGCAGTGTAGCAGTGTTGGCCTAGTGGCTTCAGCTTGCGACTCTCATCATTGAGGTCACAGGTTCGACCCCGGTTGTGCACCAATATCTTTATGTGTGCATTCAACATTCGCTCGAACAGTGAAGGAAAACATCGTGAGGAAACCGGCTTGCTTTAGACCCAAAGTTGACGCGTGTGTCAGGCACAGGCTGATCACTTACTTGCCTATTAGATTGACAAACCATCATTAAACAGATAGATTTATTTTTATACATGACACTCACAAATAACGTGGCTTTATTATTGGTTTAATATTAATTTATTGGTACTTAAAAGAATGTTTAAAGTTGTTTCAGTGGATTATTATTACTACTTACCTCTTTACCTATATAAGAATAGTTATATTATATATAGTGTAATTTAATTGTGTAATTATATATAGTGTAACCAATAGGTTAAATCAATTGCAATTTTTGAAAATTAGATTTCATAATGTAACGTATAATAAAATGTGTTTTTGCCAGAAAATAATAATCACGAAACAGAGATCGCTAAATCATATATTTTCAATACTGCGTAATAACAAATTGCCAGAGAAATGTGTACTATGCTTAAATGATTTTAACACATTTCGTTATCATAAACATAATTTTTTACGTCTACGATATCGATTTGTCAAGCTTCATATAATGTTTAAATGTCATATTAATAGTCAATATAATATAATAATTATAAAGAAAATAACTTACCATGAGTTTCATTAATACTATTAATTCTTAAAGCACTATTCAGTATTTATTTCCTAACCCGATGACACCGACATTTTCTTATGTGTTGACGTTGCGTTGTCATGGCAACGGCCATAGATATGGTAGACCAGTGATTCAGGTAATGTCAAGAACACAGTCTATTGCAATTTATATTTCTATTGTAATAATATTTTTTTTTGTTTATATTTTATTAAAGATAAAACTCACGTCCGATACGGTACAGCAAAGTGTTGCCAACTTTAAAGTTACACCACAGGGACCAATATTTGTTAATTTTTTTGTACACTTTAATTATTATTTAATTACATGTTAATATTTAATTCGATTAAATATATAAAATTAAAATTTTCTTTTGAAAAATGCAACCATTCCATCGGTATTTTCTTATGACGTTGTCACGTTCAATTATCGTCAGTATCGTAGTAAGTAGTCGACTTTACAGACAACCGATTTTTACACGCGTTATATTAGCTTCACATGTATGTATGTATGTATGTAACCGACTCCTTCGGACTCGATTTTGACCCACTTTTAAGGGACAGATTTAATTCAAACTTTGCGCACCTGTCAAAGATCGATGAGAATGCAATAATCAAAAAAATGAAAATGAAAAAAATAAAAAAAATAAACTAAAAAATAAATAATAGTTTAAAAAAACTAAAAAACACGCTTTTAAAGCACATCAAACTAAAAAGTGAAAAATAATTCCTAATTTAGGCTGAAAATGGTAATGAACAAAAAATACTGGTATTATTGTGAAAAAGCGTGGGTTGCTCGATAGACGAAAAATATGGCACAGAGATTGATGTGCTTTAAAAGCGTGTTTTTAGTTTTTTTAAACTATTATTTATTTATAAACTAAATGAGGAAATAAAGGAAAAACGTTGTATTGTAGGTATATATTTATATTTACGCATACAAAGTCGGAGTAACAATTACACTGCTTATATAATCGTATACTTATTTAATCGTACCACTGACAATTCGTAAATAGATTAAAAATTGCGATACAGTCTATTATTATCTATGTTTGCTCTTTATTAATGTTTTCAAGTTGTTTTATTCTGACTGGCACTTGTACGGCTGGTAGATCGACGCTTTTGGCACGACGGCGGCCATTTTGTGAATCTGATTTGGCGGGTTTTAATTCGGGCGGGAGAGGTTCGAGGTCCGGCAACGTTGGCCTTTTACGCGCCAATTCTGGTGTTTTTAATATTCCACCTGTGTAAAAAAATATATTATTTTGATTTTCAATATTTAATAGCTGTATTTATATTATAACTTATAACAATTATAATGATCCAGGGGTTTGAGGCGAAATCACTTTTCGACGGTCGTGACCACTAACGCTAAACGAAAGTTATATGGGAATGCCATATAGCAGTGTTGTTGTTGGGGGCTTTCCCTACAAATTAAGGGGGAATCTAGATGTCCTGGGGGCTTTAAGGTGGTACATTTATTTAGGGGGTTTTTAGGGATACTTTATACAAGATTGAAAAAAACGCACGATTCTATACAATTTATATTAATTAATAATAAATAATCAGCGGCCCTACAACCTCATTCAAACTGTTTCATGATCATTTGTCAATCTAATAGGCAAGTAGGTGATCAGCCTCCAGTGCCTGACACACGCCGTCAACTTTTTGGGTCTAAGACATGTCAGTTTCCTCACGATGTTTTCCTTCACCGTTCGAGCAAATGTTAAATGCGCACATAGAAAGAAAGTCCATTGGGATCGAACCTTTGACCTGAGCTATGAGAGTCGCACGCTGGAGCCACTAGGCTAACACTGTAATTTTTTTTATTTTCACAATTTATATTAAGCCTCGAAAAAAACCAACAAACTAAACCAAACATAAACTTTAAACGTGGCCATAACTGAAATATCATATAATATACTCCAAGATCGATTGTATCGTAAGCCGAACCACAAAAACTGTAAGAGTTTTTAATCGATATTTAGAGGTATTTGAAGTTGGTCCTAAGGCAACATTCTGTAGATGTTGGCATCACTGGACATTTGCTAAGCTTTGTGTGACAATTTTCATACAATTGTCGTTAGTGGGTCACGCCTGTCTAAAATGATTTCTTGATTATTGATTTCACAGATAATTTTTTGTCATTTTTCAAGCATGGTGATAAACATTTTGTGACATAAATTTTGTCTCGACGTGATGTTCACTGAATGTGCAAGTGTTAATTTAAAACTGTGAGTAAAAGTGACTCGGTGGACCAGTGGCGTAACTACACCATCTGGGGCCTGTGGCAAATTCTTTTGATGGATCAGTAAAAATATTTTCAGTTTAATTTAAATAAACTTCGAGATTTTCAGCATACTCAATTATACGTCCCACTAATGGCCATAGGCCTCCTCTTCTAGGCGAGAGGGAATGGTCTGTAGTCCCCACGCTAGCCCAATGCGTATTGGAGACTTCACATTCATCCATAGAACATAATATCTCTTGACAAGGGTCCTCTTGGGTCGGGAGCCCGTGGCATTTTGCCAGCCCTTCCACCCTATTGTTACGCATTGCAGTGGACATTCTTAGCAACTCCATAGAGACCTTTTGCCGAGTCGTTTTAGCTTCTAATGGTAATTATTAATTTCTTGTATCCTACACAATTATGTATTTATATTGTATATTCGACGGTTGGCGGGCCCATGCGACTTCTTCAATAGAATCTTCAAAGAGTTTCGGGAGTTGTGTGGTGCGATATTGCGGTCCACTGCTGAGGAAGTTGCATGGATCTGCTCTGGCACCTTCTTAAGTTCTCATGTCAATTTCACAAGTGTATTTATGTCCTTATTTTAACATAAGTTTTGAGAGCGAAAATAAAAAAAAGCACATTAAAGAAATAGAAGCTAAAAAGTAAGATGGTTATATAGCGTATGTATGTAAAGAAAGAAGTTTCACCCAATGCTGCGCGGCGAAAAGCCTACACATTATTATTAAGCTATTGCATAGAGTTTATCGCGGGCTTTGAGTGCAGCGGCGGAATCAAGAAATTCCGTAACGAAAATAAACCTAACACACGATGACGTAATATAGGTGCAGCCAATACGCGTTAGAGTGGGACAGAACGCGTACTGCGTATTCACATCTCTCTGACAAGATCGGTGACGTAGCGTAAGCGCGGCCAGTGCAGCCGGTACGCGTTAGAGTAAGACGGACTATATAGGCGTGTTAGTCTGAGTAGTGATAGACTGGTAGATTAATATCAAAGAAAAACTTGAATTAATATCAAAGAAAAAACTTGAATTAATATCTAAGAAAAAAAAATACTGCATGAATGAAAAATAAATAAATAATTATAATTGCATAAGTTGATAAAAAATCCTATGCAATAGCTTTCCCGCGGCAGTCCCCGAGTGCCACACGTTTTTTTAAATGTTTCGTAGTAAATAAGTGTTATACAAACCTACATATTTAATAACATAATAATGTACCCTTTCTCCTCTGTGTCTGTTCTTCTGTTTCTTCTTTCTTCTCACAACCATCTGCTCTCGTTCTTGCGCCGAGTTTTTGGGATCTACTCGTATAAGAAAATATATTTTATAATTAGTTTTTTTGTATAAATTATTAAAGACAATTTAAGTAAGTAATTACTTATTATTCTGAAGTAGATAATTAGCCGGCAACGCACTCGCGAGCCCTCTGGTATTGAGAGTGTCCATGGCCGGCAGTATCACTTAACATCAGGTGAGCCTCCTGCCGGTTGTCCCCTTGTTCTATATAAATAAAAATTAAATTTATATCACGTTCAACAAACAATGGTTCTAATATCTAACCTACCCCTGCTCCACCAGCAGCTTTGTGAGTCTGGCAACCTCAGCCCTTAAATTATGCAGTTCCTTGTCTTTGGCGCGCGACTCCTCTGCGGCGGCGCGCTCGCGAGCTGTCAAACGTGCGCGCATGTCGTCAAAACTAGAATAAAAACGTTTAAATTAATAACATATGACACAGTAACCGTACATTACGACGGCACATTTTGACGGCTCTTTTTGTAGAAATATTATGACCTTGGTGAAACAGCGATTAGTATATTTCATTACGAGTGCGGAGAGCCTGTCATTGCAAAGAGTTCCGACAAATGTTGACAGTCGGAACAAGTTGCAATGACGGTTCCGCACGTGTACTGAACAACTATTTTTAATACAGTTGCGAAAAAATTAAGCAATTTAATATAATAATAAAAACACAATAAACTCAACTAACTAAGCATTTATTTCTTATAAAAGTTATAATTAAAAGTTATTATTATTAGTTAACTATTATTAATTTCGTATGATTGTTCATGTATATTTAATATATAATATAACAAACAACTAATTTCGCAAAGAACATTTTTGGAAAATGGCACGTAAAAGAATATAAGCAGAGATTTTTTTTTCACCCATTCCGGGTAGGCAAAGGGAACTATGCCCAAACAGCCAAGTATTCAGTAGATTTTTTTTTATTGATATGAAATGAAATGAAATTTAATGAGATGAAATGAAACCTAACCTAACTAATTGTATCAAATCATTAAATCTGATATTGAAACAAATTAGTAGCTTCTTTTTAGAAATATTTGCATGAATCATAAAAACTTCTATGAAGTTTTATATATATATATACATCCTGCTATACGCCACTTTTTGAGCAACTGTATTAAAATATTAATACCACTTTAAATTCGTTAAATTAAATTAAAGAAAGTAGTTTGGCGTTTATGGCTAGAATATAATTTCGTGTAGAATAAAATTCATAAATGGGAATGCATATTTTTTTCTAAGCGGCCAGTATTCTTGTGAACTTGAATATAAAACCTATTTGCCATCAGACAGGTACTTGAAGTCGATTTAACTTTTTAAATCGCTATTAGACTAATAATTAATGTTAAAAATAATAGCCAATCCGAAGCCGACTTTTATGTCCGAATTAAAGGAGTCTTTACGACCCAAGGCTGTTTGCTCATTCAGGCTCTCTTAGTTGTATAAGCGTGGCGATTTCCTAATTAGTCGGAGTTACGCCCCGAGAGTATAGCCAGATTGCCTACGTCTGTCTTCGACTGTTACATTGCATTCATTCGTTACATACTCGCCCCGCACGTTGATATGGCGATGGAACCTTTTCACAATAACAGCTGCGTGACGTCATCCACCGCAGTACAGACAACAAAAAAGTTAATAATAATAATATTCAAATGTCCGTCACATGTTGCTTTGAAATTAGCATGTCCTCACTTTTTCGGACACTCCGAAGCATTTTTTAGGGCACGGTATTTATATAGATAGATAGTAGATAGTTGATATTTTGAATGAATAACTTAGAGTCCTCTTTCTACTTAATGAAATAATTGTACACTTTAATAATCATTTCACGAGCAAGGCTGTTATTTACTTTCTTGCTCATTTTAATAGGATAATTATGATAACAAAACTGAACAACAACAATAAAACAGAATAACGAAAATAAAAAGCAGTAACAAACACGTGGTAGATGTACTCAATACGCGTAAGCGCTGGCTGACCTTGCGCACGGTACTGACACTGACAGTTCGACTACGTCACTAAGATGGCCGCCAGTCGCAATATCAACGTGCGGGACTTATAGCAATTAACATTTCATTATTTTGCTTATATTCTATCTGTACGCGAGTGGTTTAATATAGAGTATAACTAAAATCCTCTATTATTTAAAGCATCCCGACTACCCGAACCGTACAGAGTCATACATAAAAGTTAATGTTGGGCTACAAAATTTAATGCCCGATTATGAGAGAGTGACCTTATTTAATATACTTACAGTTTTCTTAAACATGCGCATTTTCTTGTCAAATGTTCAATTTGTTCCCTCGAAGCCTTCTCGACCTGCTTCAGTTTAGCCGCATCATCTCCCCTCTTCTCTCGCAAGTTTTTTTCTCGCTCTAGTGCCTCTCTAGGTAAGTTAGTAAGGGACAGAGATATTGAGTATTGCATATAGAAGTTTGTATTGAAATAATTCAAGGAGATTTTGAATTTGGAATAGTGTCGAAAGTTGTGATTGTATTCTGTGTATCAAAATGTTCTACAAATCATAAATATTTGAATTTAGAATACAGTATTCTAAATTTAATTAAGAAACAATAGAAAAATAAATTTGCATAGATTAAAAGTTTAACTACGCCGCTTATTTTTAGCGGGAGTTTTTGAATTTGGAATATAGTTGAAGTTATAAAATATATGCGTCTAAAGATTGAAGCGGGATATTTGAATTTAGAATAGCTTGTTACGGAAAAGCAATATTAAATCATTTAAAATAATATTTTTGAATAATTAAATAAAACATTTAAATAATTAGAATTTTATTATATATATTTTATAAAATTTAAACATTCAGTAACAATAAATGAGTATAAATGAAATAATTATTTATAGACTAGCAATTTGAGCTAAACAATGATTGTTATGACTAGAATGAATGTGTTGATGATCTTAAAATGTTTTAACTCAGTCCAAAATGGCAGTTCTAAATTTGCTTAACATAAAAAACATACCGCATACATTATTATAATAAAAATATACTTAACGCGACATTTAGTGTAATTAAACGCCTTGTCTTTTCTTTATGCGTGAATAGAAAAAGAAGGCTAATAGTAAAAGAAAGGTTGCTAGAGCGAGACGGAATGATCCTGTGAGGACGCACGTGCAGCAGGCCGACAGCAAAGCGCCGACCCAGCCGAAACTAAAACCAATGTTTATTCATTGTTTTTTTTTATTTAAAAAAAATACACATCTCTATGGATCTCAGATTTCTGTATCTGTATTAAAGTACTAAACGATACTAGAGCACATTACTATTAAATTAAAAGTCTATGACCTTGAACTTTTGTTAGCGGTCAGCGGTTAGCGGCGCGAGTCTATGGTTTCAATTTTTTTTAATAACTTTATTCATATAGGTAGCCAAGTACACTTATTTTGTTCCGAACAAGGGATTTTGCTAAAAGGCGCTACTGTAGCAAGGAGCAAGTCAGAGCTGGCAGCCAGATGTTCCAGGAAACGGTTAACGGATGAGCAGGTGGCAGAAGGAACGGCGAGTCCCGGTATCAGCGTGTAGTTTTAGGCTTTACTTATTAAACCCCACAATATGAGGGGGAATCAAGATGTCCTGGGGATTTTAGAGGGTGCGTTTATTTAGGGAGACTTAATAGAAAAAAAAAATTGTGCGTACAAAGTACACATGTCAGATGTGAAACTTCTTTGGCAAACTAATTTTTAAGTCTTATTCTTATTTATACAAATCTAAAACTTTAGATTTCCGAGACTTTGGGAGAGAAAAAGGAATTTAATGAATTTAATTGTCTTTAAAATATTAAGTGTCGAAAATTTATAGAAATAATAAATTTAATTTTTTAATTTATTTCTTAGATGATTAAAACAATTCGTCAATTTACATTTCAATAAATTATTTTGCATAAAATATAAAATAGTAATATTTCTTAAATTCTCTTTACGAATTTTTTTTTTATCGCTCTCTCCCTCTTCTTCAACAAAAACGCTGCACATCTTTGTGACGCTAATATTATTATTATTGCGTTTCATCCGTAAAAATTTACCCTCATGCGCCTTTAATTAAGTTTCTCTTCAAAAACGCATATTTGAATTTATCTTCAAAAATTTTAGGCGGTATGTACACGATTTAGGTATTTAAAGTTGGTCTTAGGCGGAATGTCACGTGACCATTGGCATACATTTCCTTTACTACTATCGTTCTACAGCTCTATGGGTGTGAAACGTAGAAGGTCACTAACGACATCTCACACCAGCTCCAAGACTTCGCCAACCACTGTCTTCTCCGTATTCTGGGTATCTACTGGCCCGAGAAGTACCTAACGAGCAACTGACCCAGCAGAATAAGCTACGCAAGTGGAAATGGATATGCCATACACTCCGAAGAGATTCAAAAATAAAAATAAAAATAAAATATGTTTATTATGGAACATAAGAAACAGGTATCACTTATTCCACGTCATTAAATTATTAATCCCTACTTATCGGCAAAGAAGACAGATGGTGCCGGTACTCTTTTAAAATAGCAAATCATGAAAAAACACTTATTTTAAAACAAATATCGCAAATTAATTAGAAGTAGCCTGTCTAGCACTAGTCCCAGGCCAATTTATCAACTAGATAATCGAAAACTTTATAGTAAGCCTTTTTACACAGCTTTTCTTTAATCCATTTCTTATATTTATTAAAAGGCAGAGATAAAAGAGCCTCTGGGACTTTATTAAAGAGGACCCTTTACCCAAAAAAGAATTACTAATAAATAGTCTAGTACGGGGAAATTGCAGCCTGCATTTGTTCCGAGTATTAACATTGTGCGTATGTTCTATTCTAGTAATCTTATCACTATTTTTGTATACGTACATAATATTTTCATAAATATATTGCGAGGGAAAGGTAAGTATATTAATTTCCTTGAATTTATCTCTCAGAGATTCCAATCATACCAGTACGCTTGATTGGAATCCTCGAGGAACGCGGAAGACTGGCCGTCCCAAGAAAACCTAGCGTACACTTTAAGCAAAGAGCCGGAAAGACTTGGTGAAATATGAGGCTCAAGACCGAACGCGATGGAAACTCACTGTGGACGCCTGTGCCCCATCTAGGGGTTATAGGACATTAATCGTTAATATTAATACTGCCCTTTGGACTGCTGTGTCTGATGAAATGTGTTCGTTAAATGACATTCACATGCGATGGTAGCCAAATTTGTCCAAAAGGCAATATTAGTATATCAAGGGCTTGAGACATCACTTTTCGACGGTCTTGACCCACTAACGGTAAACGAATTTTGATTTAATGGGTAAAGCCCGTCGAAAAGTGATTTTAACTCAAGCCCCAGGACTAATTTCGCTACCAAACTTAGATGGAATTGTTAGTTTGAATGTTAATCACCTACAGAGGAAATTTTTCTCAAAATTAATTTAATGTTTAAGTTTTGGCAGGTTCCAGTCACCCAGAGCTGGTGCTTTCCTCGCTCAACGAATGTATAGCAGTAAAGCACTGCCGGCATTAAAGGTACACTGCCACAGGGATCAATCTTTTCAATTATTTTAATTTTAATTTGTAAATTTTTAAATTTTATTATTACTATAAGGAATATTGTAATAAATTTTTGTTTTATACATATAATACAAAAATTTATTACAATATATATTATATATATATTATAATATATTATATATATATAATATGCAATTAATAAAAAAATAAAATAAATCAATGGCGCTACATCCATTTTTATGACCCTTTTTCCTCACGCTGTTTTCCTTCACCGTTCGAGCGAATGTTAAATGCGCACATAGAAAGAAAGTCCATTGGTGCACAGCAAGGATCGAACATACGACCTCAGGGATGAGAGTCGATGAAGCCACTAGGCCAACACTGCTCTTGCAATTAATATAATAATAATAAAATCACCTAAATTTTAGATAAATTTAAGGTACGAAACATGTTCCAAGTGTTCTTTAAGAACTGGGGTTTTTTGTACCTATTTATGTGTGAAGGTCAAAGTTGTTTGCCATGACAAGTACCAGAACCAGTCTGTTGCACAGATCCCATCACAGATATCATCATTTACATGTTCGCAGTACACAGTATTGTGTATCTTATATATTTAACTAGCTGATCCGGCAAACGTCATTTTGCCATGTATTTCATTTATAATAAAAAATAGGGGTTGATCGTAGAGGGGTGAAAATTAGGTTTTTTTTAATCGTCTAAAAAAAAAATAAGTAATTTATCTAAAAATTAAAAAAATAATAATTTAGGGGTGGACTACCCTTAACATTAAGGGGGATGAAAAATAGATGTTGTCCTATTCTCAGACATACCCAATATGCACACAAAATTTCATGAGAATCGGTCAAGCCGTTTCGGAGGAGTATGGCAACGAAAACTGTGACACGAGAATTTTATATATTAGATTTATTTTCGCCATTATAGTATTTTTGTAAATTAATAAAAATACTCGAAGTATTGGAAGTACTGTTGCAGTTTTATTTCCTCTGTAGGTGCTCTCAAATTAGTACAGATACTTTTGGACCACAAAATTAGAATATTAAACAATTCTTTTAGCCGAGGCCAGAGAACGTAATGACATAAGTATGACAAAATAAATAGTTAATTAGGGGGTTAATAGGGTGAGAAGCTTGGGGGGGGTGAATAATTACCTTAATTCCTGTTCAGTGACGGCAAGTGTTCGACCGCACGCCGCGGTCTTCGTCGCTAAAGCGTCGAATTCGTGTGATTTTGATTGCACTTGAGATTTTAATTCTGGAATTTTTTATCATCTGCGTTCATCATTTGTTTTAGAACAATTATATCCTATGAATTTACTTGTCTTTTTTAGAAGCTCATCCAATGTTAAGTGATACCACCCCCATAGACTCTCACATTACCAGAAGGGTCGCAAGTGCGTTGCCGACCTTTTATAGAACAGAAGGCAAAAGGGCAGTAGGCTCATCCGATATTAGGTGATACGGCCGCCCATAGACACACAAACTGCCAGAAGGGTCGCAAGTGGGTTGCCGGCTTTCTTTTACAGAAAAGAGTGCAAATGGGCAGGAGGCTCATCCAATTTTAAGTGATACGGCCGCCCATAGACACTCACACTGCCAGAAGGGTCACAAGTGCGTTGCCGGCCTTTTTTTATATAACAGAGTGCAAATGGGCAGAAGGCTCATCCAATATTAAGTGATACCGCCGCCCATAGACTCTCACATTGCCAGATGGGTGGAAAGTGCGTTGCCGGCCTTTTTTTAAAGAACAGAGTGCAAATGGGCAGGAGGCTCATGTGATGTTAAGTGATACGGCCGCCCATAGACACTCACACTGCTAGTAGGGTTGCAAGTGCGTTGCCGGCCTTTTTTAAAGAACAAAGGGCAAACGGGCAGGTGGCTCATCCGTAGTTCAGCGATATCGCCACCCATAGACAAGAAGGGTCGGAAGTGCGTTGCCGACCTTCTTTTATAGAACAGAGGGCAAACGGGCAGCAGGCTCATCACGAAAAAATCAGTGGCACTACAATCTTTTAGGCCTCAGATTTCTGTATCTGTTTAGTGATTATTTTCTAATAGGCAAGTAGGTGATCAGCCTTCTGTGCCTGACACTTTGGATCTAAACCTGTGGTTTCCTGAAAAGAAAAAGAAAAAAGTGAATCATTTGAAATACCTGCAATTTCTTCTAATAAGTCTTTCTCCCTCTTGACTCTCTCCTCATCACCTTCTTGCCGGCATTCAGACTTCATTCGCTCTAAGCAATTCTCCTTGTCTTCCATAAACTGTTCCCATTGCTCTTCTGTATTAGTCCCAACAATTGTATTGAAAAGTATTTTTAATAAGAATTAATCCTACTAATACTATAAACGCGAAAGTATGGATGCATGTTTGTTATGCTTTCACGTAAAAAGTACTGAATGGATTTTAATGAAACTTTACAATAATATAGCTTAAAAATCAGAATAACAGATAGGCTACAATATATAAAGATATTGTGTGAATTGTCCAAAATATCAAGTAAGTAGGAAAAAATCTACCATCTGCGAGCTATTCTGGCGTGCGCTGCCAAAACAGCTAGAGAGAATATATAATCAAATCTGTTTATTAAAAAAGCCACTTACCCATTTCCAACCGATGTTTTTCCTTCATTTTACTGATCTGGTCGTTTTTCTCAGCTATGAGTTTGCTTCTGGTGGTCTCCAGGTTCCGTCTTGCATCTTCAGCGTCCGTCGTGGCTTGCTCTTCAACCAGCCGAAGTCTGGTCGACCATTCTTCTATTAATCGCTCTGAAAATTTGTAAAATATTTCAGTTTTTAAAGTGAAACTTCATTAGGCGCATGAAGATAAAATTGTTACGGATGAAACGCGAAAATAATATTAGCGTCACGAAAATGTGCAGCGTTTTTGTCGAAGGAAATGGAGAGAGAGAGTGAGAAGGGCGAAATTTCTATTACCTTATAGAAATTCTATTTTTAAAATTAAAATTTCGTAAAGAAAATTTATGAAATATTAGTATTTTATATTTTATGCAAAATAATTTATTGAAATCTCAAAAGACGAATTGTAATTAAAATGCCTCGTGTTTTTAGTATCGAAGAAAAAAATTTAAAAAAAAATTATTATTTGTATTAATTTTCGACACTTAATATTGTAATGACAATTAAACTAATTAAATTCCTAACATATCTTCCTTCTTCCCTCCCTCTAAGTCTCGGAAATCTAAAGTCTTAGATTTGTATAAATATGAACAAGACTGAAAAATTAGTTTGCCAAAGAAGTTTCACTTCTGGCGTGTACTTTGTAGGCACGCACTTTTTTTATATTTATTGTGATACCAAGTATAGATTCTTCTTTATCTTTTTCTCTATTGTGGCTATCTCCCTCTTTGCTAGGCTCTAAATCCGGGCAGCTAACTCGTAAGGTAACCTGGAATGGCAGCTGGTACACCTTACCTTTCTCCTTTTCGAATCTCTCGTTCAACATCTCCACATTATTCGCGTAGTTGATGTCTGCTTTGTCCAGGAGATGTCTCAATTGCAGAATGTCCCAGTCTGCTTTGCTGTTCGCTTCGGCGATCGCTCGCTCGAATTGTGTCTCCTTCGCCGCTAACACTTCTTTCAGATTTTCAAACTGGAATTTTGTATGTTATTAACATTGTACTTCTGGAAGTACAATTGTCCATATGGGACCGTTCAAGTATTACGTAAGTACTAATGGGGGAAGGGGGGGGATCTTATTCGGTGATTACATCAACAGTAATTATTTACTTTTTTACACATATTACCAACACATTGTCTATGCTTGAAAATGAAATGCGTTTTGAAGGATTCCTACAAAAAATTAATACGTTTATATACTATTATTTTTGAGAGCTTTGCTTACTTTTGCTGACAAGAGGAGGGGGGGTGATAAATCTGCTTACAGCTACGTACAAGTATTCTATTAGGGATCGAACCTACGACCTCAGGGATGAGGACCTTGGGATTGATTTGCTCCAGTTCAAACAATTTGTATAACAATACTTGGCGATTAAAAAGAGTGGCGGAAAGTTTCTTGCCAGTTCTTCTTACCCGCTCTACGCCCTTGACTTGCGGAGTGGTAGTAAATATAAATTTACAATTAATTTAACTTCTTTCTGACAATTCATAAGCGTACTTGTTTACCTATATTAATTAAGATATTTTGATTTTGAGTTCGAGGGTGGGATACTTAAGCTAAAACTAATGTACTAAATGGAGAGGAAGTTCATTTAAAGGCATTCCGTGAACTCTAAGTCGAATTGGTTAGGAAATATGGGCAGCTGGTTTCACAAAGTGGTGAGAGATAGATCTTACACGGTCAGACATTTTTGACAGTACATAAGGAGAGCGTTAAATAGGAGTAAAAATCATCGGTGTGGCTTGTCGGCGTAAGAATTATACTTCTTTGGCATTATTAAAAATAGTAGTTGATTGCATGGAAATAATTAATTACAATTAAATAATCAAAGACTGGAAAAGGAGTCATTATAGTCAATAAAGTTTAGTTTACATTTGAAAAATTAAATAAATAAATATTTATTATTATTCTCTTACAGTGTAACATAAATTCTATTATTATTCGAATGTTGTTTTTAAATTATGTCCAATGCCGTAGCATCTTCCGTGGGCAACTTCTGTTAAATTTCACTCTCATCAATTTTTCATAACGCGCCTAAAGAAGTATAACTTCAAAAATGAAGTAAAAACTTTGTCTGTGTCTCTTTATACTGTCGCTTTTTTGTTCCATCGACTTTTAAACTTTAAGTATTTTAGTTTTTATCAAAATAAAGATTGATATTAAACTTAACAATTAATATAAAATAATAGTTTAAAGATAAGTCTATCTATCTAATATATAAAATTCTCGTGTCACAATGTTCGTTCCCATACTCCTCCGAAACGGCTCGACCGATTCTTAAGAAATTGTTCATGCATATTCAGTAAGTCTGAGAATCGGCTACTATTTATATATTTATACTTTCGAACCCCTAAGTGATAAAGGGTGTCCACCCCAATTTTTGTTTTTATTTTTTATGATACAGCATACAAAACTATATACAACCCCTTATTGTCACCCCTCTACAATCAACCCCTATTTTTTATTATTGTAGATAGTTATTTTTATTGACTAAAAAAATGTTTCCTAGAAATAATATACATGGCAAAACAAACGTTTGTCGGGTCAGCTAGTTTTATTTAGATAGTGATAAGAAATATAATTGTGAATTGCACACTTGTTTTTTTATGTTTTACTAGCTGACCCCGGCAAACGTTTGTTTTGCCAGGTATATAATCCTAGGAAAAAAAATTTTAGTTCAATAAAAATAACTATCTACAATAATAAAAAAAATGGGGTTGATCGTAGATGGGTGAAAATAAGGGGTTGTATGTTGTATCATAAAAAAATAGAAACAGATTTTTTTTTCTAAAAATTAAAAATTGTGGTGGACACCCCTTATCGTTTAGGGGTTTGAAAGATAGATAGTAGCCGATTCTCAGACTTACTGAATATGCATAAAAAATTTCATAAGAATCGGTCGAGCCGTTTCGGAGGAGTATGGGAACGAAAATTGTGACACGAGAATTTTATATATATAGATTTTATTACTTAATAAGTATTTTTTTAAGTGGAAGTGAGAAACTCTTACTCTTCGCTCACACACTTATGTACACACGTGCTCGCATATTAAAATTTTCTATTTAACATGTTTTACAAAAGACCTGTAGTTTCAGATCTTCAGATCTGTGGCCGTGCCGTTAACTGCAGGGTCCTAAAAGGGTACTTGCCTAGCGGTCTTATTAAGTGGCAGCTAGGTGAGGAGTACCGGGTTCGATCCCGGTTCGAGGGCAATTTAATTTAAATTTGTCCTGAGGGTTGTGTGGTACCGGGCGAGTGCTTAAACCGTTCATGGAGGACACGGTCGAATTTCTAAAGGCAAGCACGAATTATAAAAAATCCTATACGTGACGCTGGCTAATGCACAAATCGTGCCAGAGCCATAAAAAAAAAGGTACTTAATTTAAACTAGGTCTGCTGGGTTTGGCGTCCCCCACCGGGGCCGGTAGTCTAGTTACCCATGAAACAGTCCCTAGTGGGGCACTAGCGTCAGAGCAATTTTGTCCGTAAATAAAAATTGCCTTTATTTCGGACCACAATAAATAAAAAAAACAATATTCATCATACTCAGTCTGAAGCCATCTTACCCTAGTAGTGACCTCCCGCAACTTCCTATCAGCATTCTTCGTATCTCTTTCTGTTTCTATCCTCAAGTTGGCAAGAGTTGTTCTGGTCTTCTCTGCGTGTGCTCTCTCCAGGGTTGCACGGGCACTTGCAGCACTGGACATGGCTTCTGAATGCTCGGATTTGATTGTGCTTATGTGTTCTGAATGTTGGTGGTTGAGTCGATCTATGGCCTAAGGAATTTACTTAGTGTCAATATTTGGGGATACAAAAACTTTGCCGGCCTATTTATATAGAACTGGGGGAAAACGGCCAGGAGGCTTATCTGATGTTAAATGATACCACCGTCTATAGACCCTGTCAATGCCACGCTGGCAAGTGCGTTGCCGGCCTTTTTTTAAGGAACAGGCGGCAAACGGCCAGGAGGCTCACCTGATGTTAAGTGATACCACCGTCTATAGACTTTCACACTGTCACAGGGTTTCGAGAGTGTGTTGTCGGCCTTTTTTTAATAGAACATGGGGCAAACTACCCAGATTGTTACCTAATGTTAAGTTCTACCACCGTATATAGATCGTTACTCTGCCAGAAGGCTTCGAGAGTGCGTTACCGGCCTTTTTTGTAGAACAGGGGGCAAACGGGCAGCTTGCTCACCTGATGTTAATGTTATCAAGACCTAATTTTTTTTCGCTCCTATTATTTAATTAAATGATTTTTTACCACCTCTGAAAAGTAAATTGAAAAACATTTTTATTAGCACACGAATTTTTAACTCACCAACAAATGCTGTTCCTCCTTATCCTGCATAATCCTCGCCTCCTTCTCCAGCAGATCCTTCAGCCTATGGACCTCCAGTTTCAGACTTTCTTCCCTCGTCTCAACCATCTGCAGTTGAAGCGTCAAAGACTGTACTGAACGTTGCTGCTCCGATAGAAGACCTCGCAGTTGCTGGAGCTCGGCAATGTGAGATGGAGTTGGTGGAGATGATTTTAGTTGATCCACTGTTTCTGATAACTGAAAATAACAATTAAAATTCTTAAGAACAAGAAATACAGGGGGAGGTCATGACTCCATAAGGTCTAGCTTTATTAATGCAACTTTTTGAAGTTATACTACTTAGGCGCGTTATGACAAATTGATGAGAGTGAAATTTAACGATGCGCGCGCACCGTTACACAAAATTATCAGAATGAAGTTAGTGGCGCATGTTGGCATGCACGCCGCCTCTGTTCACGGTGTATTAATTTATCCACATGCTTTGAATTCACATTTAAAAACGTGAGTTATTCATTTACTTTAAAATAAAAAATTTTCATTATACAAGAGCGAATTTTATATGTGCGTCTTAATTATAATCAGAAGTGATTTAAATTGAATATTTAAATCAATACTAATTAATATTAGAAAATATAAATATTTATTTATTTGTCAAAGTAAACTGAACTTTGCCTTGATGTAACATTGCAGCAACAAACTTTTTAATAGCCTTCTTCTACGTGCGTCCATAAATATACGTATCCTTTTTTATAGAAAATGGGGGGAGGGCAGAGCTCAATAAAGAAACAAAGTGTCAAGTTCCCCTTAATATAGATAGATATTAGTGAATTAGGGTTAAAAAACAAATTAAACGGGCTGGAGATATCGGATGTTAAGTGTACCGTCTATAGATTCGCAATCTGCCCTAGCGAGTGCGTTGCCGGCTTTTAGGAGGAGGTAGGTCTTTTGTTGACGGGCGCTAAGTACCGATTAGAATATTATGTCGTTCCTTAAAAACGCTCAGTTTTGGAACGATTGTTGTTTCCAGGAATTTCCCATTCCAGAATGGGATTATATTTTGACTTTCAAAATCGGTATTCCTATTAGACTGTTACTTGTAATTACTTCTTCAATTATCAATTTTGTTTCAAACTTTAAAATGCTAGAAATCCTCACCTCTTTCTTCTCCTTCTCAGCATCTCTAGCTCTCTTCTCCAACTCCCTCATCTTCCACTCGCAATCCGCGAGAATTCTCTCCGCTCTCGCGGCCGCTTGTGATCGAGCGGCTTCGTGAGCGGATCGCCATTTTGATATATTCGCCTCTGCTGCTGATAGAGCCTGGAATCATACATACGCCTTTTAAAAAGAAATAGTAAATATACAGAAGTATAGGTAAGACCAGAGAAGCGTCTGCGTCTTTTATCTTGTTTTGAAGAATAGAGGTATCATTTTAAAGCTAGTATATATTAATTGAGCAGTGATGACCTAGTGCCCTCAGCGTGCGACTCTCATCCCTGAGGTCATAGATTTATATCCGGCCGTGGACCAATAGATGACTGGGACCGAGACCTTCGACATCCTCAGGGATAAGAGCACGCACGCTGTGACCACTAGGCCAACACAGCTTGCAAATAAATATAGTGTATAGTGCGATTTAGGCTATGTTCACATGTAACGCGCGTCAACGCGGCGCTCAGAGAAAAAGTCTCTAGACGCAGGTGATCACGCTTGACCGCGCTTTGATATTAATGTAACGTCCGTATGCTGTTAACGCGCGCTCATGTGAACAGTTGTATGAAAATACCACAATGTCTAGTCGCGCGATTTGAAAACGCGCGTCAAGTTTTTGCCATCTAACATAGCTTAAGGCTGATTTACACAGTAAGAGTAGACAAGTCAGTCGCAGCGCCAATGTCGGCGCCGCGACATGACTTCAACTGCTTACATGAAGTAAGTAGTAGTGGTGCGTTTCTCACGATGAGCACACGTTTGTGATAGTCAGTGGGAAAAATGAATTCGCGAAAACAACTGAAATGACGATTTAATTATTTGTTGAAAAATTTATCAATTTTGCTGTTGAATGAGTTAATAGTAATGGTAGAAAATGAGATAACTAAAAAGTAGTAAGAAAAAGATTGACGATAGAAACGAAACTGGTGGCTCTGCTTTGTTGCTGAAGCAATTGCGATTTGAAGATCCTGCGGAGTACAAACTGGCCATATAAATTCACCAATTTTAAGGTTTCGTCTTCGCTAAGCTTCATTTTTATCGCCAGCGAAAAACGTGGTCACACTACAACGCAGCGGCAGTGACTAACCACCACTGACTTGTCTGTTTACACGGGGTTTATTTGGCTGGCGCGGGGGGGCGGGGGTGGCGGGGGGGGGGCGCCAACTGACTTTAAAATATCCTGTCGGATATTCAAGACAGCGCTGACTTCAAGCCACTGTACTGACTACAAATCAGCTTACAAGTATTTTTGGGTCAGCACCGACTTGTCTCGGATGTGTAATCAGTTACTTTCCCTTGTATCCAAATCAGCTCTTATCTAGATAGACCATTTACTGTCCCTTGTATCCAATAGGTTCTAAAATGCCAGTTTTAACATAACATTTCCCAGAACAAAATTTATCATTTAGTTTTAAAAGCCGATAAATATCCATTTTCCTACTGATCTGCGCCAAAACAGCCCTAGTTGTCACGGCCCTTCAGCCCAAGGAAGTTCAAATACGTAGTAAAGACAGTTGACAGACTATTTCGAATTAAATAGTGTTTTAACTGGGAGACGGGAACGGCCGAGGTGGTGTTCCAATGTCTCGGTCATTCACCTGAGGTCACTGACCTCCACCACTCGCCGCACGTCAGTGCCTCCGTAGGTGCACACAAATATTCTTTTAGCTTCGAACAGTGTTTCATATATTAAAATGCTTAAACAACATACTATATGACTAAAAAATACCTCCTGCGCCTTCTGTTCCTGTATGAGTTTCTCCTGCTCTAGCCTCGCTTTGTCCCGCTCTAACAACTCCACTCTCGATTCTAATTCCGCGCATCTTGTATTTGAGTCTTCTAACTCTGCACGTATTGCTCTTATTGCTTCATCTGAAAATGACAAGTTATTATGCTGGTTACACGAAGGAAGAAAGATGCTGCTCTTCCAACCTAAATGAAGGATCCTCAACCAGTCTAACCACTGACTGGCTTGAAGGCCCCACCAGTAGTCAAGATTACGTACGTATGACGTCATCGTAGCGTTTGTAGCCACAAACTAGATGTCGCTACTGTGACATCGAGGTTTTAAGAAGTTGTCTACCCTCATAGCCCAGCAATGTGGGTACAGTGGGCTACTGAATATCAGTGGAGTAATAAATTTTAAAAAAATTATACCGACCATTTAAAAGTTTAAACACAAAAAGTAAACTAATATGATTTTAGAGTCTTTCCTCCAACATTATTTTTGTTCTCTTTGGAGTAGAGATTCACGCCATTAAATTCAGTCGCTTATAAGACCCCAGAGGATTGCTTGCATTGCTCTGGTTTTGATTTTATTTGAGCATTAATAATAATATTTAAATCCTACTTAATGCATCCTGTAATTGGATAATTATAATTAATGCATCATCATCATTCACATACCATTTCGTCTGCTAAGCTGGTTGGCGAGGTCTGCGGAACAGCTCCTGGCTGCACCAAGTTCTTCCTCCAGCGACCGACTTCGCTGTCGGATCAATTCTGATTCTTTGTATGCCGATGCGAGGTCGCATTTTAATCCTGGAATCAAATTATTTTTTATAATAATAATGTCATATATAGTTATAAAATACAGGAGTGAATTTTAAAGTCCACTTATATGTCCATCATGGACATATAACTCGAATAAAAAAAAACAACTTATCAACGAGGAATGGAACGTAGTGCACTAAATTTAAAACTAAAGCTATAAGTACAGAAATAATAAAACAATAATTATCGATGCGCCTTCCACTTTCAAAAAGATTCAGCAGGAATGGCCTGCTATCAGGGAAAAGAAAGAGAGGTTCTTGCAAAATAGGCATGCTTAAAGAAGTTGTTGTGGAAGATTGAGAGATTGCGAAGGGGCCTATAAGAAGGAAGGATCCCATAAGAAGTCAATAGAATTATTTCTGTATAGAATCTTAAGGTCCTATCCCAGCACGAATTGCTGTGTCAGTGTCTCGGGGTGGACTGCGGGGCGCAGTGGAGAGCTGAAGCACTGAGGCGCGCCGGCCCGAAATAATAAAACAATACTTATTTAAAACATTAAATTCAGGTGATTTTATCAAAAAAATTTTTAATGGATTACTTGGCATGCCATAAAATATATCGTGTAAATTTCAAAATCATGTTCCATATACATTTTCGTCATAAAATGAATTTAAAGTGTCAAAAATGGGCTATGTATGGATTTTTTTTCTATCAATCGAAAGTATTTAAATCGTGTATCGATCATTTAAAATGGATACATAAACTACTCAACTCCACCATATATTTTTTCCATTCCCCTACTTCAAGAAATGATGACGAAAAATGGAAAGAAACAATGTACTTTTTTGGAGTTTAGCGACCGGATAGGTATGTATCTTTTGTCATAAGAGCGCGGCCACACAATGCGGTAACCCTATAGCTCGAAGTAATTGCGGTGCGGCGCCGCACCGCACCGTTACCGCATCGTGTGGCCGCGCTCTAAGAGAGGCAGGAAACAGTGAAAACAGATTGTCCCGCTCCAGATCTTTTCTTGCTGACCACGACGCTCAGATATGAGCTGCCGACTGGAGAGAGAAATCTTTTGTAAAGGTGATTAATGTTTCAAGGAATAAATGAGGTTTATTATCTTAATATATATAAATTACGTATCACGTTGTTTGTCCGCTATGGACTCCTAAACTACCGAACCAATATCAATCAAATTTGCACACCTTGCGCAGTTTCATATAACTTAAAAGATAGGATAGCTTACATCTCAATTTATACCCGCAATATTATTTTATTGCAAATTATTTGTTTATTATTTAACAGTCACAATTCTAACAGATGGCGATGTGTTGAAAGTACCTACGTTTCACATAAGCTACAATTGAATGGCATTACCACCAAAAAACCATGGTGGTCCCCATGACCAGTGTTCTCCTACCGTTTCCCTTGAATAGTTTACTACTATGTAATATAACAAAAACCTTAGCCTCAGCAAGGCTTGGCCGGTCTGCTAGTTAATAAATATAGTTTTAATTGTATTTTTAATACCTAAACATAACAATCAAATATTTACAAATTTCTTAAACTACATGGTAATAATAAAAATAATTAAAAATTGATAAAAAGGAAACTAGTACTGCTCCTTATGTGGATACGTTTGCCCCATCTGTCTGCTGGACTGGCCGCAAAGCAGGCGGAAAATAATAAACAGCTCAAATATTGAAGTCTTTCCTCCAACTTCGATTTTGTTCCCTTTGGAGTAGAGACTCTTGGGTCGTTGGGTTCAAGGGCACAGGCGCTAATTAAAGATTTAAGTCGGCACCTGGTGGTACCGGTGACCCCAGAGCTGGTGCTTTCCTCACTCAACGAATAAGTATGGCAATACAGCGAGGAAATGCTGCCAGCGTTAAAGGTACAAAGTTTCTTTACAAGTATCTCCTATGATACACGAGTTCCCTTTTGTTCCCAGTGGGATTTTACATGACGTGTTTCAAGGTTATACTTTATTTTGAATACAAGGAAACTGTGCTGGCAATTTGCCAATTTGACTTGTAGTGTTAATGCACTTTCTTTGTATCGTGTATTTGAACACTTTGGACGTATCACCTGACAAAAGACTGGCTTAGTATGGAATTAAATGACTCAGCGATTATGGATAAGATCTTAATCTATTAGTAAATAAAATATCAAATAAAACAAAAAAATATTACGGAAAAGAACGAACGTAAAAATACGGTTACACAATATGGCGCTACCTCTAGAAGCTTGAAGGTTTGCGATATTGTTGTTTTATAATTTTATATAACACGGGGCAAACTGGTAGGAGGTGAATCTGATGTTAAGTTAACCCACCATAGATGCTAACATTGCCCGAGGGGCTGCAATTGCTGGCGTTTTAAGAATTGGTACGCTCTTTTCTTTCTAAGTGGAATTGAAATACTTCAGTGGGCAGCTGGTTCCACATAGTGGTGGTGCGCAGCAAAAACTGCCTTAAATAACGCTCAGTTGTAGAGCGACGGATGTCGAGGTGACATGGATGGTATTTCGTATTCTGCCTTGACGTCCGATGATGAAACTCAGCTGCACGTATTAGTCCGAACAACTCTGAACACTCCATGGTAAATGCGGTAGAAGATGCAGACCCAAATCTTTACCCAAGGGATCGAGACACTCGGAAAGTGATGATTCGAATCGCTCCTTATTGAATACGGTCAAATGGCTGGAGCTGGGCAGTAGCCCACAGAAGTGAACAGAGCGTACCAATTCAAAGGTCGGCAACGCACTTGCGAGACTTCGGCATTGTGAGTGTAGGGGCGGTATCACTTAACATCAGGCGTGCCTCGTTTGCCCCCTGTTATGGGGCCGTTCAAGTATTACGTAAGTAGATTTACTGCAATTTACCCCCCCTCCTCTTGTCAGCAAAAGTAAGCAAAGCTCTCAAGAATAATAGTACATAAACGTATTATTTTTTTGTAGGAATCCTCGAAAATGCATTTCGTTTTCAAGCATAGACAAAGTGTGAGTAATAAGTGTAAAAAAGTAAATAATTACTGTTGACGTATTCACCAAATAAGAAAATCAAAGACCCCTCCCCCCTAAAAAAGGTAAGCCCTCAATCAACCATCAGTAAAACTTACGGTCAATTTCCTGGTCCTTAGCATCTATCTCTTTCCGGAACGAGGTGATTATATCCCTTGCTCTTTCTATCTCCTCGCATCTGCTATCAGCGAGTTCCGTCAGTGTGGCCACTTGTGCTTGGAATTTCGTTTCTTGGTTGACAAGGTCCTTCCTGAAAAAGACAATATTTTTAGTAGCAGCCTTTGATGCCTTGGAAGATGAGACGAGCTTTGGGCTGGGCTGCTACCAGTGGGAACACGTTAGCCCGGTCTCACCATCCTCAGTCAAGCACAAATGCTGGCGCGGTAGAGCAGACGGAAAATAATGAACACCTAAAGTATAAGAGTGTTTCCTCCAAGTTCCCTTTGGAGTAGAGACTCTTGGGTCGTGGGGTTCAAGTAAAATCTAATCAAAGACACCTGCCTTACAATTCTGTAACTCACACTTTACTTTATAAACAATAAACTACAAGCTCCCTCCTTATCAGAATGCCAAATCGTAAAATGACTGCTTCACGGCTGAGAGTTCGAAAAGTGAACTACAGAATCGCAAGGCTGGTAGTACCGGTGAACCCAGAGCTGGTGCTTTCCTCACTCTACGAATAAGTATCACAATACAGCAAGGAAATGCGTTAAAGCTACACTGCCACAGGGACCAAACTTTATAAATTGGTTTTAATTTTCTATTTATTAAGACTTCGGATGCAGGGCCTTATCTAAGATCCCAAGTCGAGATCATCGCGGAGACAAGAGCAAATCGTGGGAGAATTCAGACAGACCCACCAGAACAGCCCGAGCTGGACAGCCCTTCAGGCTAACAACGAGATTACACAAAAATATGTGAGTGTACGAGCCTAGGCATGTACATTTTTCTCTTCACTCAGGCTTTCTTAGTTTTATTTGTGACGAGTTCCTAAATCGTCGGAGTTACGCCCCGTGAGTATAGCCAGACGCAGGCACTCTCTTCAACTGTTACATTGCATTCATTAGCTACTACTCATATACTCGTATATTAAATGTGACTCAATTAACCTTTGGATTGGCTTTTACATATTTGTTTATTACTATATATTATTATTTTTATTTTTGAAGTTGTACTTCTTTAGGCGCGTTATGAAAAATTGATGAGAGTGAAATTTTACGATTGCGCGCGCACCTATGACACAAAATTGGCAGTGTGATATAGCGTGCGCGAGCGAGATGGGAATAGGACAAACTACAAGTAAAAAAAATAGAATATGCGTGAAGCTAACTTCACGCATATTCTAGCTTAGCAGCTTAACAAGAATTTTGAATGACCATGACAATTGACATCTGACAATGACATTTACCTTTTAAACAAATATAGGAGTTTTAATTATTGTTTAAAATTAATAATTATATACCTAGTTATTTTCATTATACAAAATATTTGTGAAATAATATAAAATATTTGTGAAAAAACTGTGCTAACCTTCCTGAGTGCTTCAATACAATTGAGGTTAACTATCCGTATGTATTATCGAGTATTATTGTTGATTAAAACTGAAACATGAACCATTATTCATTGCTTTTGTTTATTGCGTTTGTTACAGCAACTTTTTAGAAATATTCTACGACCCTATATATCAATAATTGAGAACAAAGATTTAAGCACGAATACTAATAAGGAGAAAATGAAGGCTTGGAGCGATATAATAGAGAAGTAAACATTTTAATAAGTACCTGCATCTCAAAAAAATGACCACATTATTTAATCAAAACATCAGATTTAATCTAGCAAATATAAGGACAAGAGACAAAAAACAATTGATGAATCAGTGGAAGTGCACTAAATTGAATACAAAAAAAGAGTTGTCATCTTATCGCCATGAAACATCAAAAACTGGAGGTGGAACAAAGCCACCATCACCTTCTCGAGACACAATGGTTTGAAGTAGATTTCAATGAATTTGATTGTGATGGTGTCGAGGTAGGAATGTTAATTATAAATATGATGTATGGTGATGTTCAAGGTTCAACCTTTCAAGCATAGGCATATGCTTACAACATTACTTTATTCCCCTACAGGGTAGTTAGAGATATTGTAATACCTCAAAACATCCATGTTGCACTTGTAGTACCGAAACTCTGTCCTGCCAGAAGTGAGCCCATTCCCACTTATAATGGACAGTGGGTATAATACACCTTAATACCTGAGTGCGAACCACTCACCATGATACTTAAATTAATAGATGTTATTTATATATTTCAGGTTATTACAAATAAAATCATTTTGGAAACAATTGATATCCCAAAAGCAAATAAAGCCAACAATGACAAGGTAATAAATCAGTTTTGACATAACTTGAATACTAAAAAGGCCAAACAAAGGTGTGCACAACAGTGACAACATAACTTAACAATTTCATTATTTTGTAGGATTAAAGAAAGGTTAAAGAAAATCATGTCGAACTGAACAACAAGAATCCCCAAACAACTCCAAAGAAACCTACAAGGAAGACACCGGTATTATATTTAAATTATCTCTATCTCTAAATAGAATAAAAGAAAGTTGCTATCCAGGTCTGTAGCATGTGCTACAAATTATATTATTAACACATTTATATAATTATATTAATATAAATGTGTTAAAAAATTTATAATATGAATTATAAAAAAATTTAAGTTTTGCATGGACAGAGCTTAAATTAATATTCTCTTATTTGTTGCAGAAAGCAAGTAGTTTTGGAGAAGCCTCGTAGATGCACAACCAAGTAATGATTAATTTAAAATTACAAACCGAAATTCTGATGAAGACATTAGAGTCACTTAAAAATAAATAGTATAATGAAATAAAAATGTTTTAAAGATAAATAGTGTTTTATTTGTTTAATGTAAGAGAATAATAATAAATATTTATTTAATTAATTTTTCAAATGTATACTGAACTTTATTGACTTTAATGACTCCTTTTCCAGTCTTTGATTATTTAATTGTAATTAATTATTTGCATGCAATCAAAAACTATTTTTAATAATGCCAAAGAAGTATAACTTCTTACGCGCGTACATAAGTACACGCACCCTTTTTTTCTTTAAAAACTGTGGCACTAGAACCTTTTTAGGTCTCAATTATCTGTTTCATGATCATTTGTCAACTAATAGGCAAGTAGGTGATCAGCCTTCTGTGCCTGACACACGCCGTCGACTTTTTGGGTCGAAGGCGAGCCGGTTTCCTCACGATGTTTTCCTTCACCGTTCGAGCGAATGTTAAATGAATAGAAAAGTCTATTGGTGCACAGCCTGCGATCGAATCTACGACCTCAGGGATCAGAGTCGCACGCTGAAGCCACTTGGCCAACACTGCTCATTTTTTCTTTAGATTTAACTTTATTTTATTTTCATTATAGTTACATGTTATTTTGAGTTTTTTTTTGTTAATCAATTATGCACTTCTTGTACTTTACCCTCTGTAGGCGTTTCTTTTATTATTGTTCCACATAAGGGTTGCCTGGAACTTGGAAGAAATCGCTTGTTAGCGATAAGGCCGCCCGTTGACTAATAACTTATGTAAGCTGCTTTTTTATGTATGTATGCTTTTGTATAAGGTAACGAAGTGTAAATAAATAAATGGAATTCATTCGTTTCATAGCAATTAACATTTATTTCGTAACCATTTGTTATATTACTAGTAATTACTTAAGATATCATGTGGAACATGGTGTTATGGTTGCAGTTCCTTACAAACGTTGTGTAAAAAAAAACATGGCGATTAAAAAGAGTGGCGGAGAGTTTATTTCCAGTTCTTCTCTTCCGTTCTACGCCCTTGATTTGAGAACTGGCACTAAATGTAAAGTTAGGAGCATTTCATATACATTTCTTTTTTGACGATCATAAGTGTACAATGTGTTACCTATATGATTAAATGATTTTTGAATTTGAATTTGTCTATTAAATCCTCTATTATTTAAAGCACCCCATGACCCAGGGACCGTACAGTAAGAAATACCCAAAATCGTTATTATCTAACTTCAATTGGATTTTAAGGTTCTATTATGTATACTGTTTTACGGAAAATATATTTTTTAATGATACCAGTTGAACGTTGGAATCCATTTTAAATACAGTTAATACAAAACAGATGTTCCACTTGAACAAATGTATTTAGATACTGGATACAGTTAGTGATTTATAGTTTGCTAATAGAAAATAGCAATGTTTTTAAATAAGCTTTAGGTTATTTTATAATGCAAAGAAAGAAAAATGGGTATTGTTGCAATTTATCAGCAAATTATACAAAAATGAATTAAGAAAAATCCCACGAAATTTAGTTTCTTATTCCGCCCGAAAATATTTATTTATCTATTTCTTTAAGTGGTTTTAGTAACAATAATTCTAATTTTCTTTTTATTTACCATATATTTTACCACACAAATCTTCCAAGACTTCTTTAGTTACAATGTAATTTTTTACTATAATTATTTTTTCTACTATTAGTATTATTACATTATTTTTCTTTTTTTGCGTCTGAGGCGCAAACTAACTGTTGTGGTCTCTGGCAGAATGACCAGCGCTGTGGAACACGTCTGCTCCACAGCATAATGCTGAACCAGGGCCAGTTACTACCACAACACACACACACATTACACACTTAAAGGCTATGTTCAGATGGCAAAAACTTGACGCGCGTTTTCAAATCGCGCGACTAGAGATTATGGTATTTTTCATACAACTGTTCACATGTACGCGCGTTAACGCGCGTCAACGCGGCGCTCAGAGAAAAAGTCTCTAGACGCAGGTGATCGCGCGTTGACGCGCGCTTTGATATTAATGTAATGTCCGTTTGCTGTTCAGATGAGCGCGCGCTTTCATCGCGATCGCATGTAATTTTATTAATTTTCGTAATTATATTTTGTTCTCGCTTTTAAAATGAGTGAAATTGAAGATATTGACATCGACTTACTAATCGATGAAGTAGAAAAAAGGTCAGCAAGTTGGAATATAGCAAATTTGTATAAAAAATATAATATAAATTGTATTTTTTTTCAAAATTGGATAAACCCAATGTGTACGTTTTCTTTTTCTATATTTTTCTTTATAATATAACCACAAAATAATAGCCTCTTCCCACGTCCATTTTCTACGTTCTACCGAACTAGACTGACGAGTACTCTCGCAACGCGCGTTAGCGCTCATCATCTGAACGCTCTTCAAATTTGATCGCGCGTTGACGCGCGTTAACGCGCGTTACATGTGAACATAGCCAAAATGTACCGTCCTTTATTAGATTATAAGTATTATTATTTTGTGTGTTTCGTTAGTAATAAATGTTATATATATGCGGCTAATTTTATATTTAAAATGAATTTAATCAAAAATGGTAATAAAAATTGATAAATATAAAATTAAAACAGATTTTAAAAGTTTGGTCCCTGCGGTAATTCCGGAATAATTTAAGTTGGCGCCTTGTAGATACTACCGATGACCCCAGAGCTGGTGCTTTCCTCGCTTAACGAATAAGTATCGCAATACAACGAGAAATATCAGTATCAAAGGTAGGTGCACACTGCCACAGGGACCAAAATTTTAAATTTGTTTTATTTTCTATTTAAAAAATTTTAATTATTACTATTACTATGCATAGATTTATATCGTTAGATAGGCCCTGACACCAAAAACTGTGGCATTGTTTTTGAATGTGTGCGTGCCGACACACGCACACTAACGAGTATTTAAAAAATCGTGTTTCTGCCATTGTATAAGCAGCGGCACGTAAGTCTAGCGCTGGCCGATACGTGAAGGGGATTGCTGCGCATGTGTATTGTCGCGCACGCAATACATTATATGCCACTTTTTATTTACTACAGGATTTTACCTGATTCGCTGATTATACTATTAAATTTTATGTTTCCTGCCTTAATGATTTCGGCAGTTTGTTTTATCTGGCTCAAATTTACAATGTTCCTGTCCGAATGACTGAACAAAGCATTTGTAGCTTCGTCAATCTCACTTTGGATTTGTTTCAAAGAATCAATTAATTCGTTAGATTCCCTTTTTAAAAAACAATTCACGTCATAAACCATTTTCCTGGCTTGTCTTTTCAAAACAGTATTTGTTCTAGGCATATTCACTTTAAAGTCACAAACAAACTTAAAAACAAATAACAAACAACAAAACACTAACAAATTCAAACGTAACAAAAAACAACAAAACGTAACAACAGTAACAATAATATTAATGACGCGACTGTACACGGGATGTGCGCGGGGCGTCGTATCGGTGCGGGTACACCTCTGGCTTTATTTGTGTTTCTAGAATTGTTGTAGCACTTTAGAAAGGCACACGATGGCATTTTGTGACACTAAACTGCTCGCAAACGTCCTTTACAACACGTCCGGCTAACACTGTGTTTAGGGGTGCACTGATTCCAGGTTAGTGAGCTCACTCAGTTCGACTGTGGAACAACACGGCCCGGTCTCACTGCGCTAAGGGTCTATCTAACGATATAAATCTATGTATGTATATTGTATAGGTTAAGAATACTGTAAACACTATAGTTGTTTTTCAGACATTTTGTACGTTTGGGGAAAATAAATTGAATATGTACCTACTATGATCTCATTTCTCAATAACATTGGCTTTAATCCAAATTCAAAATTGCAATATAAACAATATCAAAAACATCACGTATCCGTTAGGGAATTGAAAACAATTTATTTTCGTTTTAGTACCTACCAAATTTTAGTTTTCATCATCATCAACAATTTCAATACACTATTAGTAGACACGAAACTTACGAAAAAATAATAATAACTCTTCCGCGGTATTCAGTACAAGACGTAATGGCGCCAAAATTAACGTCAGCCCATAGACTTATTGAAAAAATAAAGACAATTTTTTGTCACTTAACTCATATGTCTTTATATTTCAATGAATTTTAAAATAAGAATACAAAATATTCCCGCCAATTCAGAACACATTTTTGCGCCAATAATATCTCATTTAAACTAAACTGGCCAAAAAAAGACAATTACACGTTATTATAAATTTCAATACAAACTAAATTTTAAAATAAGAATAAAAAATTTCCCGCGCAATTCAGAACAGAACATACTAATTGCGTCGAAGTTTATGTTCAAAGACTAAATATTTAGGTAATAGTTTTCTTCACATTTACTATAAATAAATATTATTCAGTCTAATTTAATTTGTTTTTGTAATGGTTTTATAAAATATGAATTAAATTTCTCCCGCGCAAATTAGTACAAGACAGAATGGCGCGAAAATAGTCATCACAGTTTTTGACTAATCTAAAATATTCAAGTAAGATATTTCTTCATATTCACTATTATCAAAGGATAGTAAATAAACTCATTTAATTTAAATTTAAAATAAGAATTAAAAATTTCCTGCGAATTATTTATCAAACTTCTGTAATTTATGAAATAATAAAAAATCTCCCGCGAAGTACTATACGTATGAATGGCGCCAAAACTCGCAATACCACGCCGACAAATAATGATGCTGCCACAGATAACAAAAAAATTGAATATACCATAGACAATACGTGTCATACGCGCGTTTACTAAGAAACATTTATGAATCATACATTCACAGTGTGTTATATTAGTAATATATTACTATTTATTTTTATTAAAACTTGGTTAGATTTGACAAAACAAAAATAGCTTTATACGTATTAATAAGGCAGTCATCTATTCGGAAACTTTAATGAATTATTAAAGCGAATCGTTCATAATGTTCGCCTGGATTGCGTACATTTTGGCAAGATTTTTGCGACCCCTTCAATTTCTGTCAATTTCCGACAATAATGAAATATACACCTAAACTTTTCTTGAGATTCTAAACGAACATTGTCGAGTTATTACAATCCCTAAAAGTATTGATAACATTAACTTTAATAAATATTTGAAGGTCTATATATAGAAAAATTACGCGGAAGGTTAGAAAATTAAAGAATACTTAACTACCATATTAAGTAATCCTGACTTTTGTTACGATAGCAATTGTTTTCCAGTGCGGCTAAAATTTGCAATGTCGATAAATAAATCTCAAGGGCAGTCGCTAATAGTTTGTGGCATTAATCTTGAAAATCCATGTTTTTCACATGGACAGTTATATGTCGTGTGTTCCCGTGTCGGAATACCAACAAAACTATTTATATATGCGCCAGAAAAACAAACAAAGAATGTTTTATACCATAAAGCATTAAAAGAATAAACTTTGTTTCTGCAATATTTTTTTAGTTGATTGTACCAATTCGAAATCAATATTCATAGTTAAGACACGACAACGTCTGTCGGGTCCGCTAGTATGGCAATAAAATAACTACGCACTATGATCACGCGTGCATTTTTGACGTTTATGTAAAAACCGCGGGAAACAGATGATTAATATTTTTATTAGCAAATTGTCACTTGTTAATAGAAAAATATACGTTTTATTGGCTGTATGGACTAAAGTCCTTTGCCTTTCCCATTAGGGATAAATTAATATCGTCATCATATACGTTTTATTCCCCTAAATCTTGGATTTTCACACAAAGCCGTGGGCGTGACTAGTATTTAATGAAGACGCATTTAAAGTTAAAAATAACCTCACGGACGATGTACGTCAACGGATGTTAATGAAAAATCGACAACGAACAAAATGATGGGGCAATTTTTTTTATTATTACTTTCTGTTTTTGTGCGTTGAATTTTATTTATTTATTGAAGTTTCCCACATCATACGTAATACTTCATCTACGGTATATGTTATAAACTCTTTTATCTAAAATATATGACAATTTTGGTACTTCCACATAAATTAAAAAAAAAAATATAAATACATACTAGAAATTTTTGTTAAGCAGAAAAAAATTTCTTTTCAGAATTCAGCAAAACAGCGGATTAGGTATGAGATAGGTACTTATCAATGCTTTCTTGAAAATTGAGTCAACTAGCGAATATATCTAGCTCCATATCAGTGATATTTAATTAAGGTGCCTGAACTCCTAGGTTGGTCTATTCGGCTATTAGGCTGAAAAGTTCGTAGGCTGACACATAGATGGCGCTATTAGCATTAAATTAATATAATAGCTAGCCCTAAACAAAATACACGTGTATAAATTTGACAAATATCGTACTATTTGTGATATATAGTATTTTGAGTGAAGGAACTTTTTGTTTAAAAAAATTGATATATATATATATATATATAAGAATTTCGTGTGTAAAAGCATTGCTTTTTGGCGACCAAACACAACAACGAATTCTGAGCAGTGTTTGAAGCTTCAATCGTAATAAATCCAAAATTATTCTACCGTACTCTCCAGATTTAACCTATAGAGAATGCTCACTGGACAAGTGTTTGCGCTGATAAAGATGTAATCGCCGAAACTGAAACCTATTTTGAGTCTAATGACACATCGTACTATGAAAATGGAATCGAAACATTGTATGACCGTATACATACAACATACAACGTATCGCAACTATGTATATTGAATTAAAAAAAATTGTATTAAAAAAATATTTGCCTACAACTTGAATCCACCCGTTACGTCCCATTCCTATTATAGAGTTATTAAAAAAAATTACGTCAAATTAGAACCTATACCGCCTCCTTTGACTGTATTAAGTGTTGCCACATAAAGATTATTTCAGTGCTAAAATAGTTTTTAAAATAATAAAATACAAAAATTTAAGAAATTAACGATAGAATACTCAAACAAAATTAAATCAAATTATAATATATACCTTCTCCTTAGATTTTTATAGGTGTTGCTATATAAAGATTATTTCAGTGTTAAAATCGTTTAAAAAATAATAAAATACAAAAAATTCAGAAATTTACGACCGAATACACAAAGAATCATATCAATTTATAAGCTATACCTTCTCCTTCGATTTTTTAAAGTGTTGCCTTTATAAAGATTATCGCAGTTCTAGAATCGCTTTAATGATAAAATACAAAAATGCATTGCTGCATCGTTTTTATAACACCATGTGCCTATTTTACTTTAGTATAGTATTTTTTTTTTGTTATAGGTACATTATATTATAGGTACATACAACTATTTTAAAAGAGGAAGTATGGAGTTTTTTGCCCATTCTTCTCCATATGAAACTGCCTTTTGGAAGGGGCAACTAGCCTTTTTTTTAAATATTTTTAACTTGTAATTTTGACTTTCAGAAGTGCCTTTTTAATCTAATTGCAACAAATGATTTGACTTTGTAAGAAATTTACGATCGATTATAATATATAGATTGATTTGATAATGCACCATGTACCTAGAATAAAAAAAACTACTATACTAAAATAATTTAGGCGCATGGTGTTATAAAAAATATGCGATTTTAATAATCTTTATATGGCAACACTTAAAAAATCAAAGGAGGTATAGGTTAAGGTGCGCTTACACGGGCAACTAAAATTGCTCAATTCCAGTCAATACTCGTCAATTATGACGTCACGACTACATCAAGCAATTTACGGCAACGGCAACAAGCATCAATACTGCGCAATACAATATTGAGCGATATGGCGCAACTTCATCAACTAGGCAATACTGTCATACACGAGCATTTCAGTTTTCGCTCGCTATGAACGACATTGTTCTTGCTGCGGCGGCTTGTAGCGCTTTTTTTATCATTAATCAAAAACAAAAAAGAAAGAAAAGGAATAGGCGTATCTGGGTGCGATCGTTTTTGGCAAAGAGGACAAAATTTTCATAATGTAAAGATGATATATTATTCAAAAACTTAACTAAAATGCAAAAAAAACATAAAAATAAAATGCAGTGAAAACAAAAAAAAAAAAAAATTATAAAAATACGACATAAAATAATCAAGCTGTTGGCTATGTTTGACTAGACGGTAAAAAAAAAGGAACAACGGTGTGAACCAAAACAGAATGAAGTTGTAATTTAGAAATAATTATAAAATATATTATTTAATTATTTATAAATTACAACTTAACTTAACTTTTATTTTAATTTATTTATAACACAACAAACAGAGGCTGACTACGCGCTGGACCCTTGCCGCGCGCTATCCTACTTCCACCCGACCTCTCGCTCTCCCCGCAAGCAAGACGGCAAGCCGCAAAACAAACAAGTGCGAATGAGATATATACAAAAATTGCTAGGAATTTCCAAGTCCATTGGATATTTGTCAATTCGTATCTGCGACATTGAGCGATATGACATATCTGGAGCAATTAGAAGCAATATCGCCGAAATAATTTATTGAAATTTATTGAATTTATTGAAATTGCTCCATTAATTGCTCCAGATCGGTCCATTCGTGTTGCCGAGCAATTATTGCCCTCGTGTAAGCGCACCTTTAGAATTGACGTGATTTTTTTATTACACAAATGCTTCCTTTCGAAGGAGTTTGGTTACACGATAATATTTAGAAAATATCTGAAATGGATTCCGATGTTCCACTAACCTATCTCAAACACTGTTCACTGCCAAGTAGGATTTCTTATTTGTAGGTCGGTGGGTTTGAATAGTTTTTATAGTATACTATTACTATTTCAAATCATTATACTGGGAGGAGAAATGTTTTTCTTTAAAAAACGAAATAAGTAACTTTGAAACGATTAAAACGAATGGTCTCTTTCTGACAAATTGCGTCAGAACTGTAATGAAAAGAGACAGAACTTTTTTTAAGTTATTTGCCAAAAACAGAATTGTATTTCATATTTGTTTATGTTTGAAGTAACTAGATTACAACACTTCATTAGAAAAATGTATAACATCTACATGTGAAAATTATTTAGTTCATTATTTATTCGTATTTACCTAAAACAATTTTTTTTTATTTACTAGTCCTCCCACAATTAAATAATAACAATAAACTCAAAAAATATTGCAACGGGCGTCTTATCGCTAATAATTGATCTCTTCAAATTGGCGCGTTATTATTGCTTTAAATGTAATTTGTTACATATAAGTTTTGGTTACAAAGACGCTTTCATTTTAAGTTAAAATATAAAAAAAATACTCACGCGTCCGTTTCGTCAATAACGACTATATCGCTATCATCTTCTAACTCCTCCTGCCTCTCTATTTCTTCCTCACTCTCACTCTCAACACTTTTCACACTTGTCTCATCACCGGACTCCTTATCACACTCAAGGAAACCACTGTCACTGTTATCGCCGGATATCCGTTTCAAATCTTCAACACAGTCAATCCGAATCAAGGGACTCTCGACTTTAATGACAGTCTTGTTATAATCCGGGTCTTCTAAATACTCTGTTTCTTCAGAAGTAAGAGATTCGAACGACGAATCGGCCTCTTCATCAGTCTGTTGCTCGCCATCATCGAAGACGATATGCTTTCTGAACGTAACCCGCTTCTTTCCATTATCAGATCTATCATCATCCGAACACCCCTCCTCAGAGCGTGGAGGCTTCAAATTCGACTTCTTTATAAATGCAGACGACTCTAGACCTTCTGTATCGCCGGTATCCTCTTGTAAAAGCTTCTCCAATTCTCCTTTGAGTTCGTTTTTGTATGCGTCAATCTGCTCCTCAACCGTATCGTAAACTGCTTCAGGCTTGCTGTTTTCAATACCCATTTGGTCATTGAGATCTATGTTACAGTCTATAGTCTTTGCAATCTCGCGCAGGAGTGCCTCTGCATGTCGTTTATCATCCAAATTAGGTTCGTTCACGTACACATGTGACACGTGTTTGGGAGTCTTTGCGTACTTCGATAGAACGAGCTGTCTCACGCAGTCCGAATCGTCAGCCGTACGCGGCGCGTCTTCGGTATTTTTGGCAAGTGTAGGCGATGCGGGACGGTCTATAGGGTTGTGGCTCGGGTTCTCCTGCGTTCGAAAGGGTTCACGCTTTCGTTTATTGCGTCTCTTCCGACCCATGATGTTCAGGAATGCACCAACTGTGGTCTTCTGGCTGTAATCTGTTTCGGGTAGTAATAGATTCACTACATCTTTGCGTGTCGTTCCCGTTTTTTCGTTTGTGACATTGTCGTTTTGCGTGCGCGCTTCGACTGAAATTAGCTTTGTGTGCTCAGAGCTCGGTTGTTTTCGGACCGGCTCGGGCGTGCTCGCGCTGTCGGCCTTCGATTTTCTTTTGAAAAAGTTGAACATGGCTTTGTCAAGGGGTACTCATGTCCGCTACGGCTGGAGTGAATATGTGAACTGGTATAAATAAAACACTAGTAGTCAGATATTTATACATCAATCAATTCTGGAGTTAAATTCTCACTGGAATGAATATTTTGAACGGTTTGCGAGTGTTGAGATGTTTTGTTATAATTTTCCAGCGGCAATTAAATACGTAAGACTGATGTTCATATAGAAACTGTTCAGCACAGATTACTAAGAAAAAAAAAATGTTTCGTTTTTATAAATATATTTTTAGGTATTGTCTATTGGAAGCGTAGATAAGAATTATGATAATAAACGCAAGCTTTTAAAACCTTGTCGCTATAAAACATCAAACAATAGATCACAAACGCGTTAATAAAATAGATATCTGTGGTTCCTTTTATACTAATATGAGCAATAAAACACAGATAATGATTTGATTTATATCTGTTTCGCATTTGAAGTAAAATAAATCAGTGGCGATACAACCTTTTTTAGGTCTGGGCCTCAGATATCTGTTTCATGATCATCTGGCAATTTAATAGAATCGAACCTAGGACCTCAGGAATGAGAGTCGCACGCTGAAGCCACTAGTACACACTTCAAGTGCAAATGTTTAAAAAGTAACTAATAACATTATATTGTAGTTATAGCTTATAACTAAAAGACTGGACCGCCAAATTTTTCCCGCAGTATTTTTATTACGACAAAAATATGAAAAAAACTGTCGATGACAAATCCCCGATAAACAAGTATGTTTGTTTTTAAGAGTTGTAAATATACTCAGATATTGGTTTGAATCCCGGCCAAATCTAATTCTCACTGCGTTCCATTTTCTATGAAATATGGACGTTTTGGAGGCCTTTATCCAGGAAAATAGTTATTGATTCAAAGGTTTTATACTGTATTTAAATTGTATAAAAGGGATAGCGTAACAATTGGGTGGCAGGGCAAAATGCCACGGGCCCCCGACCCAAGAGGGCCCCTGCCCAAGAGATATTATGTTCTATGGATGAATGTTATATCTCCCATACGCATTGGGCTAGCGTGGGGACTACAGACCATTCCCTCTCGCCTAAGAGAGGAGGCTTATGGCCATTAGTGGGACATATACAACGTGTAATTGAGTACGCTGAAAATCTCGAAGTTTATTAAAATTGCTAGGAAAGAAGATTTGCCACGGGCCCCAGATGGTATAGTTACGCCATTTGGAGGGCGTGTACTACATAATATTATCCTGATAATGTACTCGAATAAAGGCATTTTTTAATTTATATTAAACTAGCAGACCGGCCAAGCGTTGCTGTGGGTAAGGTTTTTATTATACTACATATGTAGTAGTAAACTATTCAAGGGAAACGGTAGGAGAACTTATGTGAAAGGGTACTTTTAACACAGCGCCATCTGTTAGAATTGTATCAAAAAATAAACAAATATTTGCAATAAAATAATATTGCGGGTATAAATTGAGATGTAAGCTATCCTATCTTTTAAGTTGGATCAAACTGCACACGGTGTGCAAATTTGATTGATATCGGTTCGGTAGTTTAGGAGTCCATAGCGGACACACAACGTGACACGTAATTTATATATATTAAGATTGAACAGACCAGGTGACTGAATACTGAGTCTGGACTCTCTATGTGCGCATTTAACATTCCCCGTAAGGCGAAGGAACACTTCGTAAGGAGTTTAAAAATCGAGGTTTCATGTACAGTAGGCTGTCTATTAGTATTATAATATTGTAATTATTCACGAGGTTTGTAAGGCCACTGGATTTGTTCGTAAGATTTAATTTAGTAAAGCGCCATCTATTGTCGAGGTAAGGTACTAATTTAATCAAAGTGGATTTTCAGGGAGACAGAATTTGAACAGTTTTAAAAAGATCGTTAGTGGCCCCGTGCATCTGTTTAAAAGCGTAGTGTTGTATTTTTCTATATTTATTATACTAACCTTTAGTTCACATTTATAACATCCTCGTTTATTCAGTGTCCCATAAATATTAATGTTGATTTATTATTTTTTTTAAATTATTTATATAAAAGCTTGCCAACGCTTCATTTTGTGTTTCTAAATAAATATGGCCACGTTACATTTTATATAAATGATAATAAATAGTTTATTTTCAAAGAGGTACATTCCGATTGATTAATTATAAAAAAGCCGCACAATCAGCCATATAAAATAGGCATGCATTAACTATCATAATGTCATAATAATAAAAAACTTATTTAACGTTATTATAATTGTTGTCAAAACTTATGATCTAAATACTCGCTATAAAGACACATTGCCTTTAAAAAATTAACCACCTTATTTTAATAATATTAGGTCCTTACATATGAAATTGGCGTATTTCGTACTGGCCACTTTAATCACGATGTTCTCCTCTTTGGTAAGGAATTCCAAATTCAAATTTGTACAGCTATTTACTCATGTATTTGTGCTTCGATGACCGTCATTCACTTGTTTTTTTCTGTTTGCGTCACTCATTTTACAAAATGGAAAACTTAAAGTATCGCATTATTTACGAGTACGAGTTCCGCCGTGGCACTAGTGCTGCGGAAACGACTCGAAGGGTGAATGATGTGTATGGCGGTCATGTTGCAAAAGAAAACAAAGTTCGTTTTTGGTTCCAACGTTTCCGTTCTGGAAATTTCGACCTGCAGAACAAGCCCCGTGGACGGCCTGAGACCCAAGTTGATAATGAAGTATTGAAGGCTATTGTGGAAGCGGATCCATCACAAACTACGTCCGAGTTAGCTGCAGGCTGCGGTGTTAGTTATAAAACTGTTATAATTCACTTGAAGCAAATTGGGAAGATTAAAAACTTGAAAGGTGGGTACCTCACGAATTGACTAAAGCAAACCGGCAAACGCGCGTCGACTGCTGCGTTACATTACTGAACCGGCACAATAATGAAGGTATTTTAAACCGAATCATTACCTGTGATGAAAAATGGATTCTTTACGATAATCGGAAGTGCTCAGCGCAATGGTTGGATCCTAGCCAGCCAGCCAAATCCTGCCCCAAGCGAAAATTAACCCCAAAAAAGTTACTTGTAAGCATTTGGTGGACTAGTGCCGGTATTGTTTATTTCAGTTTTCTCAAATCTGGCCAGACTATTACGGCTGATGTCTATTGTCAGCAATTGCAAACCATGATGGAAAAGCTAGCGGCTAAACAACCTAGGCTGGTCAATCGATTCACGCGACTGCTACTTCACGACAACGCTAGACCAAACACTGCACAACAGACGGCTGCCAAATTAGAAGAGCTTCAATTGGAATGTCTAAGACATCCTCCGTACTCCCCGGACCTTGCTCCAACAGATTACCATTTTTTTTCGAAATTTAGACAACTTCTTGCAAGGGAAAAAATTTAACTCTGATGGGGCAGTCCAAATCGCCTTCACAGATTTTATTGATTCCCGTCCGACTGTTTTTTTTAGTAAAGGGATCAATGAACTACCTATGAGATGGCAAAAGTGCATAGAAAACAATGGTTCATACTTTGAATAATTAAATATATTATATTTAAAAATATTCGACTTTTTGTTGCTACCATACAAAACGCCAATTTCATATGTAAGGACCTAATATTAATAAAACTTTATTCATGACAGAATATGGACAAAATTGATCTAACACAGGAAGCACCTGTGTTGTGGGTAAGATTATAATTCCGTGGTACATAGTGAATGTGTAAAACAATTTAAAGAAAAATTTATTGTTACTTTTAATTTATTGATACTAATCAAACAAAATGTACAGTTCTTGGGTCATGGAGTCCTTTAAATAATAGAGAATTTTAGTTTTACTAAATTTATTAGCCACTCGCGTACAATAGAATATATGTTTTCTTTACGTAAATGTTAATTGCTATGTAACGAATGAATGCAATGTAATTTGGGTTATATAAGAACTTTAGAAAGACTAAAGTCAAAACTTCTTTAAGCGCATGAGGGTAATTTCTAACGGATAAAACGTCACGAAGATGTGCAGCGCTTTTGTCGAAGAAAAAGGAGAAGGGCTAATTACCTTATAGGAATTATATTTTTAAAATAAAAATTTCGTAGAGAGAAATTCATGAAATATTAGTATTTTATATTTTATGCAAAATAATTTATTGAAATCTCAAAAGACGAATTCTAAATTAAAATGCCACGTGTTTTTATTATCGAAAAAATAAAAAAATATATTATTTGTATTAATTTTCGACACTTAATATTTTAATGACAATTAAATTCATTAAATTCCTAACATATCTTCCTTTTCCCCTCTCTAAGTCTCGGAAATCTAAAGTTTTAGATTTGTATAGATATGAACAAGACTTAAAAATTAGTTTGTGTGTAGGTACTATGTACGCACGCACTTTTTTACATATTTGTGTGTAATACATGCAAACAGCGCGAACAACAGATGATATAACGCAATAATTCACCAATAAATCAGTGTTTGTCATTACCACGTGTTTTTATTTTTAACAAAGCCATGACTCAATGAGTCCATTGCCAGACAAATGACAGAATAGATGCGTAGCTCGCGACTGCGCACTGACCTGCTGATTGATTTGTTTATACGAATAAATAATCTAGTTTAATTATATAATAATAGTCTAATTATATAAACAGGTGGACTGATATGTCCGATGCCTAATGTATAAAACTACTATACTAAAATAAAAAACTTTAGAGGTGCCAGGGGACACCCGGATGGAACGAAATTCCTTTCGATTAATTTATATGTTAATTGGTATCATAACAGTATGATAGATTTTCTCGACACCAATCTTACGACGAAAAAAAAAGCCAACATCACGAGGTGTTCCCAGGCGGTCACCCATCCAAGTACTGACCTCGCCCGACGTTGCTTAACTTCGGTGATCGGACGAGAACCCGTGTATTACAATAGCAAATAGCAAAAAAGTGTCGTGACAACTTTTCGTAAGAATTTTTTCCGTCTAGCCCCCTTTCACAACGCGCGATAAGGAACTTCGTT